CAGTCCTGCAGGAGGTTAGTCATGCCTCGAATAGCTCAGTGGTAACATCGCTGACTGCAACAGTGGGTGATGCAGGTTCGGGTCTCAGGTGGAACATCAATTCCGTAGAATTTACAGATGCACCTTGCTGACGAGTGCTGACGAAAACTAGGTCCAGGGCTTCCTACTGATTGCCTCAAACCAAATAGCATTCATCGAAGTGCATCGCGTTACTGAGCCTCAGCCTGGTGATCACGTTTTAGAATGATCGTTAAAATTCGATCAACGCTTAGGACTAGAAAACATGAAGTTGATCACGCTCAAGTTGTCAATCAATGTAGCGAGATGATATTTAGCATCAGTTTGTTTTCTCACTGATTACTGCTGGTGTAGCGTAATCTTGCTGTGAAAAGGTTTGATAATCTGTTTCTCAGTCTGTTAAGTCTTTTCTTATTGTAGTATCTGATTCTTGGAATGTTTTCCAAACAATGCTGTACAATCAATTGAAGATGTCTAAATGACAATGGATTGCGTTATTGTTTTAGTGTTAGTTCCCGTTCAGCTGTTAAGATGACGTAGCTGTCAAATATTACCTGAAATGCTGTCTTCCGAGAATGCATGTCGACATAGACTTTAACACTGCTACATTAAAATATACTAAGGTAAATGACTCTCTTATACAACCACTGTGTACAGTCTCACACAGTAGGCAAAGTAACACACATTGTGTAAAGGCTAATGATTGTACCTGGCTGCCTATACCCCGGTAGATGGAGTAGGATTTCAACCCATGATCTACAACTGTACATAAGCTAAAGAAAATAATACTATTGTGATATAGTAAATCTCCATAACTCCACTGTATGTGAATGAAATCAAGACAGTGCTAATAAACATGACATTCTGATGCTAGCTAGTAGAACAAACATAGCTTGTCTTGTTTCACAACTGTAGGAGAAATTTTTTTAAAAGATTATTCAAATTGTTCTCTACTACCTTATCAAATAGATGGAGAAATTTCAGTTGCAGCATTTACTTAAAGTGCGATATCAATAGCCAATATTATTACATCAAATACGTTTTCTATTCGTGTAAATGTTTCATGATATAGTCCGAAACATTATCCAGTAAATATCATACTGTTTCACTGTGTGGCATTTCTAAATAAACAGACTAAATGGAATTATAATCTACTACGGTGCTCAAGTTTTACTCCTATGTATAAATGTTTCAGTTATAGATGTATACAAACTAACTCATGATCATTAGATTCCGATCAGTTTTCAACAGGTGATTTGACAACGGTATTGGTTACTATTCGATAACTGATTCATCTTACAAAAGGTTCGTCTTGACTACTTGAATAACTTAGTGGTACATTTTCTCATCTTATTCATGTGGATTCAAATCTCTTACAAAACATAAATGTTAAATATACCTCATTACTGAGTGTTAACAGTGATGAAATTAATATCAGGAGGTTCTGTAGATTGAATCTTTGTATCTAACATCAAATAACTGAATTCTGTGCATCCAAATAAAACCAACTAGACATATATATCCGTGAAATGCTAATTTTTATGTCACAAGTGAAGGGATATTGATCGGTCAGTGAATCGATAGATCACATGATCAATTGGGAGAGAAAACAACTAAACAATAGTAAATAAAATGCTCTTTATATTTTGATTAATAACTGAAAGATAGTGGGGAAACAATTCTCTTTGACACAGTAAGACGCCATATTGTTTGTTGCTTAAGAAAAACAAATTATCTTGTGTATTTGTTGCTGTTTTGTAGCGTTTTCTAAAAAGTAGCTTAGCAGGAAATCTTTGAAACTCTACTTACTAATGACTATGGTATCGTAATGCGTGGTTATTAGTAGTTCCCTGAGGGTTGAAACTGGTGTTAATCTAAAAATGATTTTCATCACGGAATGAAATCACCTTAAGCTAACTATTTCAAAACAGAAGGAATGGGTCGTTAACCCACCAACAGTGCTCTACCGTTACCACGCTTATAATCATGTCATGTAATCCAGGCTCGTTAACCTGCACTCTACCATCCAGTCACTAGGTTAGAATCGAATAGTTCACATTTTGAAACCTGCTCAGTTGCAGATAGTGTGCTATATCATCCAACTTCTGTCCATACCTTGAAGTCAGCTGACCTGGTAGGTCACGATTTCTCGTCAGGACTTTGGAAGTTCATCTTATTGTCAGTCAGTAGTTAGTAGTGATTTAAAGGAAAACGTTTGTTATTCCACGACTTGTTCATGTCCATTTGTGAGCGGGAAAGTACGTTGAGAAGAATTTGAGTGACGATAATTAAAGTCACATAGTTGCCTAATTGAGTGGTTTGCAGGGAATCAATCGGTTTGTAGACAGTCTTCACTATCTCAGAAATCATTGGAAATAAAAGGTCATAAGTGTTTCTAACCAGTATGCTTAGTCGAATGGAGAAGGATATTAAGTTACTTGAAATGCTTTGTTAACACAGAAACAATAACATGACAATCTATGATTGATATAATTTCTCTTATTGAAAATAAACTGTTGAAAAACGTTATTTTGATGTTATGACTCGTGTTTCATTACTTTATTCAAGTAGTTGAAATAGTGATGACCTGATTAGCTAACACTATTAGTTCACTTTCAGTGAATTGTATCGTTTTGTCTGATTTGCTGGAAGGTGAATTTCCAAGTATAACTGGTTTACTGATCGCCACAGGTATTTGTTCTGACTAGACTGACTGAATTATTCTATGCTGGAAAAATTAAGTGAACTAATTCTTTTGGTTGACTGGAGGCTTTCTTAACGACTCCACAGGTTGTGGGGTGTTTTACAATGGATTCACATTAACACCACATTCCCGTACTGGTCTGTTTCGCTGAATAAATATATCAGTTAGTCTAAAAATTAAGTTGCTCACTCCCTAAGTCTTTAGTTTTCAATTATCGAAACTCACTAAAGTCCCTAGTCATCCTTTTCATATACATCTTTCTAGCTTCAGGTAACACCGTGAATTATGAATCAGTCATCTGTTAACAGAAACAATGTCTTAAAAATCACTTCCCCTAAAATTTTCATGTTTCTTTTAGGTAGCGCGTATAACTAGATGAATAGCATATTGAGTAGTCTTCAACCTATTGCATGCGATTATAAAAATGAGATCCAGCATCTTCAATATCATATTTTTCAGAATTTTTAGGTGGTTACTGGTTTCCAACTGCCCACATCCTAAAAGTTATTTTCGTGCGGTAACAGTCTAGTTGGAATATACTGATGTGACCACTATATCAAGACAGCAGCCGTCAGTCACGTAAAAGTATACTACTGGAAGCATGCAACCACAGTTATGCATGTGTCAACCATTTTTTATCTTCAAAGTCTTAAATGCCTTTCTTAACCTACGTCTGTTTACTCTCTCTGTCTCTGTCTGTCTGTCTCTCTCTCTCTCTCTCCTATCATTTATTTTCGCCAACTCTTATGTTTTTCGTTTTTTTTTCCATCTTTTTGTTGAGTAATGTCGTGAAGTCCTGCAACTTGAGGTGGTGCAATTCTGTGCTAGGTTATACGTTTGTTTCTCTTTCTGACCTCTGCAAGTCAGGGAAAACAATCGAGCTGAAGATAACCCTTTTTATTTATGTATATTGTATTGAAATAGAATTACCTGCACATAAAAATGTATGCTTGACCATAACTTGTTAATGAAAGATGCATTCAGCTAAGTGAGAAATGTGTAAGGTTTAAGTGAAGGGAGGCAAAACGTAAATGCTCCTATGAAATGAACAAATATAGTACCACTCACTTTTAATGCTTGTAAGGGATTAACTAATTTCAAAGATGACTTCATTATTGATAGACACAAACGAGCGAATCACTGAAAAACAAGAAGCGCGGAACAGCTATTTCCTCGTTCTTTGGAATTCCCCGCTAGTATGCTTTCGGAACTCCATATGTAAACAACTTCAAGCGAGCAACCTTTTGAGTGGATTACGTTACTACTTAACCACTAGATTGATAAAAGTTGTAAAACGTGGGTTATTGTATTCCAGTCCAGTAGCTGAGTTGTAATGTGCCTACTAGGTGGATCACCCATCCATCCATTAAAAATTTGGTGAGCACTGCTGGAGAGTTGCAAGTCAAACCAAAACAACTTTCCAGTGCTTCATAGATTTTGACGGTTGATATGTATGACTGAGACTTTGAACAATTGCTAATTTCTATTTTTATAAATTTTAACGAAGCTTCTGTAGAAAATGATACAAATAAACAAACTAAAGACAATCCAAATGAGGAACTTCTGTTATATTTCTATTACACCTCAATTTGTTTAACCACTAAATAAATCTTTTTTAATGATATGTATAGTGATAATTGAAACGATGATGGCTTGTGTGTGGATATATTCATATGTTCTACAAAGCTTCACTTGTTTAGTACGAACCGAGGTTTGTTATTTATTCACTAGTGGTTAGTAGCGACTCATTAACTAAAGGGATTACATATAGGTACTAAGTTTCAATCGGACCCATCGTCACTCATTAAGATACGCAGGTCACCTCACTGACTAGTTTCAGGCTCATTGAAACGCACTATGCAAGTCTCATTGCTAACCACTAGACCAGAATTCATTGGAGTTGTTAGGAAAAATCAGTATTTTCAAAAAATGCAGTCTGGGAATGTCAGAAAACTACTTATTGTCAATGAAACCGTTTTCTTATTTGCGATTATCTGAATTCGGAATCAGATTAAACTGCCCAAAGATTTTTTAGTGTGAGTATCTTCAATGTTAAATTGTGTTGCGCTCGCAAATTCAAATCCAACCAGGACAACCATACAAGGATACCTATATACTGATAGATTTTTATCAGTTCTGTCCAATAAAATTAGTTGCGGAGGGAATACAAATTGTAAATAACACGCCGATTTTATGATTCAGAACGTTATTAGTCTAGAGTAATAAAAGCCTGGATCAGATTGCTTACTTATGTACTCTTTTTTCGTTTCATTTCCAGTTATATACATTCAGATGAACGGTAAGCTATATTTTATTTACGTGGGTGTTGATTTGTTTGCTAACTAGCCAGTTTTTTTCTTTTGTGTTTTCGTTTAATGCTAACATAAAAACAATTCAATGTCAACATTTTGTCTACTTGTCATACAGTTAGATATAGGTATATTTTTACTCTAATTAATTATACAGTGAGTGAATAGTTAGGAAGGCATCAGTCGATCATATGATGTTATATGATGCACATAATACCCTCCTCTTTATAACAATCGCTTTTTTCCGAAGGTAGATTACTGTGTAGTTATATGGTCTGTCAGTAACTTCAGTATCAACATACCTTGGTGGAATAACATAAATGTGTGTCTAGTCGCTTCCTGATCAGGTCTTTTCAATTAGTTCTTATTTTATTATCACCATGTGTGGGTGTGAAAATAAATGTTCTATTTCTCTAACATCTATCGCAATATGCCTATTTCCACCACTTGTTGGTGCTTTTACACCCACCTGAATCGATGTTGGATGTGCAGTTGTCTATTCAGACATGTTGTAATTACCCACAAAGAAAACATGCAGTTTCGATTATACGTACATTGGAGTTGGTATGTTCTACTTAGATGTGCAGTTTTGAATCCTACGCTCTATACACTGCAAGCTCTAGGTCGTATCCACTTGTAGATTTGGATACTTGAACAATGACTTTCAGGTTTCACTCTGGTTGGTTGCTCAATTCCTTGGAAAATAGAAAAAGTGGTTAGTCGACAAAAGATGTATCTCAATGTTAAATTACGTACAAAATACAACAGTTTATGTATATTTACTATGATTTTGGTTATTTCCAGACCTTTCTGAAAAAGCACCCACTATTGGTTTTTTTCTCCTTAAGCAAAAAGTAATATCAATTGCATTTTTTAAAAAGCTTCTGAGTATGTTGACCGGTTGTTAAAGATTTCAAAGATTTCGAGCTTCTCTGAAGGATCTGGATACTATGACACTAAGCATTTTGATTGTGTGTACAGGTATGCTGAGCTTTACTTCGTTTCTAATGCCTACAGTGTGAAGCCATGTTTAGGTAATTGAGGCACTTGACTTCAGTGTGACCTCAGCTGTCTGGCTCTGAAAGCCAGTTTTCAAACAATACTTGCAGCTTATTACCTAGCACGTTACATTATGCAGTTGGAGCATTGCGTTGTATTATTTTGTTTCAGTTTCTCTCATTATAATCGTCGACAAAAGTGGACAGCGAAACTAATGTTTAAGCTATGGAATAATGATGATAATAATAAGAAAGTATATAATCATTTTCAAAATACCATTAGGAATTACCTTTGATAACGACATAATGATACTCATGTAGAATATCAATAATCATTATTCAACTTAATAGCCAAGTACTGTTTTACTTTTGGCAAGTTATTATCTAATTGCTATCTTTAATACTGTTTAAACCTTTCTAATTGCCAGAACACAAATAAAAACTGTTTACCATTTTGTTAACGATAGTATATATGATGTATTTCACTTTTTCCGCTAAGCAAGCATAGCATTTCTAGGCGATTGAACCTGATCTTTGTATTGCTCTCTTCATGTTCAGTAGACACTTATCATGTGTTTATACTTGAGATAGATTAATTATTGATAATTCAAATACATAACAGTTTTGTGCATCTTGAGTTTATCAGTAAATCCGTTTGTTTGAAACTTTAAGTGAAACCCTAGCTCAAGATCGATCGAATTGGTAAAATGGATCCACACTGTATCTTACCTTTGATTTCTTTTTAATTCTTACAGACTTAAGATCATTTTATTTTCATTTCTCTGTCGTTTGCTTTATTCCACTGTACCTTGATGTACTCATATGACATGGAATAGTTATGCAAGCAATTCAGTGTCCAATATTAATAATGGTTATAGGTCTGGTTTGAACGGTTTTATTGTATTTTATTATACTTCTTTTATTTGAACATTATCTTTGTCTCATGATGTATTCTGAAATAAGATGGAGTTTACTTTAAATGGAAAAATACAAGAATTACTTGTATGCTTTCAACACAACTATATGAAAGTATGAAATGCCAAGAGTCAAACAAAATAAAATTCAATACAGTTCAAAGACTAATTTACTAACAAAAAAATTCGTATTAATTTAAAAATAAGACCAACTTTGAATAAGTTTTTTTTTAGTTGTGATGATAAGTAATGTATGTGTACTCAAACCTCTTTCTCCTTCTTATTGTATTCAGGATTGCTGACCGTCATTATATTGCATAAAATGTATAACACATGATCATTACTATTCTTAGATTGGATCTATTGAATTAAGGTTTTACAAGTAATTTGGTAGCATTAGAATGCAGTTCAGATACTACAAAAACACTTATATACGTACATAGACTAATTTCGTGAGTTTTGATAGTCTGTCGGGGTAATTGCGCTTATGTCAGTGATGATTTCATTATGTGAAATTTCATTGGGTTTTGAAAATTATGAACTTACTTGTGCAGTATTTCAACATCACAATAAGTTGGTCTTCTGAACTGTAGTCAATACGGATGAGAATATCTATATCTTTATATCAACTGTATGATACCGTAGTAGTAAATTGCCGCTAAGATTACAAAACCAGTGATAGGGAAATTACTTATCATAAAAAAATGTAATCTGGTATAAAGGTTGACGTTGATCTTCACTTGAATAACAAGTCCTTACTGAGCATAACTGATCATTAAATTGAAATCCTAAACACTGTAAGGTAAATAATTTAAATTGTTTTCGAATGTACTTCCAGTTTTAAAATATAAGTGGCGTAAGCTTCCATAGTTCAGATTATATGAAGGTACAAACTTTGGTGACTTCCCTGTCCAATTAAACAAATAATACCATACGCTTACATTGGTTGCTCACTGGAGAGGAAGCAATTTCGTGCTGTCTAGTCCTGAGTGTTGACCGAATTCTATCGATCATTTTATAGTATGGCTATCCAAATAGCTAATTAGTAAGGTCATTAACTACAACACTGGACAACACGGGTTTGAATCTTATACAGGGTATTGGTTCCCTCGAGGTTGTAGATACGCCTTATTGATCAGTGGCAAGAAGCATGAAGCTTAGATCCATAGCTTCCTGCTGATTGCCTCCAGACAACTTATATCATACATTTACTTCGCAACTGAGCGACAGAAGTATTATACCGTTTAATTAAGTTTGTGCTTGTGCAGTCTACAAGGTTTCCTCAAAAGCAGAAAATACGTCTCACTGCATAAAAGAATCGCACTAAGGTATCTCAATGATTTAAGCGTATATTGTGAATATTGCAAACACAGCTGATCGAATTGAAACAAGTAAAGTTTTCAATATCGAGCTGTGTTCTGAGATGACTTTGGCTCATTATTTATTGCATTTTCGTGTATTTATCTCACTGTTTAAACATGTATTTTGTTTTAATACTCACCGAAAAAAATGAAGGAACAACATGTACACACATATCCAAATGAAATATACCGAATATATATCGAAAATTGAACTACCTCGACGGCTACTCAGAGGGAATTATTGTGATTTAGTCGGAAAATTCAGGTGTTATATATATTCTGTAATAAATGCATACATATGCGCTAGACGTCCATCAACAATCAGGAGAAGTAAGCATGTTTTGACCTTTCTGTTGAAACCAGCCTAAATGGTATACCTCATTTCAGCATGACAATGAACTATAGAGCGCAAAATGCTTGTTCAATTAGTTTGTTAAACTACTGTCTACAATAATGGTTGAAATTCAACTCTGCAATAACTAACTACTATCGTAGAAGTGGAAGCATGATTTATATGCTATAGATTCAACCTGAATTATTTTATAACGGTTATGTTCATGATTAGTATTAGTTCACGAATGTGCATCAACTACATGCATGTTTACACTTGTAACTTCGTGTATTTCAACCTTAGTTCATGACATAAATTGTCTTTATTAGTTAACTATCACAATTTGTATTGAAGGCCGAGACCTAGGTGTTTTAAGCATCACAGTTTATTTGTATAGTCATAGAATGTCAAACATTATGTTCCAAGTCATGCATGGTCATGGAGTTCAAAAGTGAATCAGTATTAAAAAATCATTCACTATTCATTACGTTACTGGATTTATTTCTCAACGTACGCTAGAGTGCTCATGTAACAGTGGTTGTTTTTATTTATTAAAATAGCATGTTAAGAAAGGAAATATAGAATTCATGAGCACACCTCCGCGCTGGTGAATCTTTGACAGGATTTTCTATCCCACTATAGGAGAACTGTAAAACAATTCAGTAAATCCTGATGGATTTATAAGTTGTGAAAAAGCATCTGTTTTGTATAGATTAATTGTGCTACTAGCTTGCTCAAGATGTATCACTTAAAGTAAATTTGGAATTATGGCTAGTTGGCTGAAGTTCAACTGTCTATTTGTGAAGTCAACAACTGCACGATCCTACTGCGCCTTAATGTCGATGAACTATCTTCCTCTGGGCAACCTTCCTTCACTCAGTATGATTTTCTAGTAAATGACTATGTATTGTGCATTCATAGACAAATAATGGAAACAGTACAGGAGGTCGTGAAATTGTGCACTGAATCAAGCTGTCACACTTAGAGTTATTACAGAAATGTAAAACAAATGAATCAAAACAGTGTTAACTAATAATGTTTAAGACGGGCTAAGAGAAAGAAGTAAATGAAAATACGTTTGGCTGGATTATCATGTGTATTAGACGCACCTGAGTGTCGTTTAATTGTGGGATTGTCACTCATTGGTATAGGTAGTTGACTATTAAGTAATGGGTCACGAGTTCAAAGATCGCCCCATCTATAGAGGCTCATGCACCTAGATAGTAGCTTACACATATTACGTGTAGCTCATTGCTTACTGCACATTGTCGCTGAGATTGATGAATGATGATCAATATCCCTATATATAAAAAGACTTTTTAAAAATCGTAGTATTAAGTGGTAATGCCAGGTTTTATAGCAGGTAATTTACTAATAGGAGAATAT